CGGATCTCTGGGAACACGATGAACTCACGCCCGAGCTCAAAGTCGCCCGCATCGGCACTCTCTACGCCCTCCTCGAGCGCGGCCTCGCTCCGTACTCCCCGGCTCGCGACAGCGTGGTTGACATGCTCGACGATCTTGCCGACCGCATCCAGGCCATTGTTCCCAGCTCACCCCTCCGCCCCTCACCCATGCCGCCGCCACCTAACCCATCCGAGTACTACCCGCTCCCTGACACTCGCGCTGCGGTCATTGACGCGCTTATCGGTGCGAACAACGTCTCAGTCGTTGGTGTCAGCGGGCTCGGTGGCGTCGGCAAGTCGTCACTCGCTGCCGATGTCGCCATCCATCCCGCCATCACCTCGGTCTTCTCCGTCTTCTGGCTCTCACTTGATGAGGACAATACGTCCAACGCCGATCTAGTCAGCTCCATGGCTCACCTTCTCGAGCACGGCCTTGGTTGTGACATAGGCCCCCGTGCCAACCTCGACGATCTCCAACATATCCTTGCTGCCAAGACCCGGGCCCTCGCCGACGCCGGCACCCGCATCCTGCTCATCCTCGACGATGTTTGGACCACCCCCCAGGCCTCCGTCTTCACCAACCACATCGCAGCCCCGCATGCCGTCCTCGTCACCTCGCGCAACGCCGCTGTTGCTACCAGCTCTGCCTCCTCCATCAAGCTTGATACCTTTGGCCCGGACGACGCTGCTGTTGTCCTTCGCAACTACCTCGCCAAGGGCTCACCTGAGTGGGCAAACACCCTTGCTCTCAACGATCCCCGCATCGTCTCCCTCGCGACCTTTTGCCGTGGCCATGCCCTCGCCCTCGCCGTCCTTGGCTCGTCCATTTCTGGCGAGGCTGCGCTTGACGCCGCTGTTGCCAACTTTGATTCGGCCTCCAAGCGTGCTTTCCACAAGCACCGCAAGTCAGAAGGCGGCACCGACGCCAAGTACGCCCACATCTTTGATATCATCACATGGACCCTCCGCAGCATCGACGACCTCGACCGTCCGATGGCACTCGCCATTTACGCCATGCTCGGCGTCTTTCCTTCAGACGCGCCCATCGACGTCGCCAACTTCCGCGCCACAGTCCCAGAAGACGATATTGACTTTGCTGCGGCCCTCGATGCCCTCGCCAACACGTCGTTGCTGCGCGTCGTTGCCACGAATGGCGGCACCATAACCGTAGTCGAGCTGCACGATCTGCACCTCGACTACATTCGCCATCGGCTAGAGGTGTGCTTTGACGACATCCCTTCCCTTCCTGTCCGTCACCTCGCCGTTGTCGCCGGGGTGCCTCCGCCTGGCGCCACACCAGAGTCCGCTAAGACGGCAATGACCTCTGGCACTGCCTCCGATTGGATCGTCACCCACGGTATTTCCCACCTGATTGCAGCCGGAGCGAACCATGCTGCCGTTGCCGTTGCTCTCTCCTGGCCATGGATGAAAGCCCGCGCAGACGACTCGCTTGGTGGCCTCCTCAATGATCTGCGTTGTGTTGTGCGCCTCGGCCGTTGAAGGAGCCAAAGACGTTGACGAGGTCGAGCGTGCGCTGTCGCTCTCACGTCAAATCATTGAGAGCGGTACGTCGCACATCGAGACCGAGCTTGTCGCCCGACTTGCCTATGACAACGCGTCCAAAGCCGTGAAGGACCTGGTTGCTGCTGTGCGCGAAGATGTCCCGTCTGGGGCTCTCATTCCATCGAGAGCCGTGGACCCTGTCGCGCATCGTGGTGCTGAGCGCTTTCGCTTTGTTGGCTCGTACGAAAAAGTCATCAACATCGGTGGCTCGCTGGTTGCTGGTGGATGTGGAAAGAATGTGGACGTACTTGACGTGCAAACTGGTGAACGCATGGAGGTGCTGGAGGGCCACACCAGCGATGTGCGGGGTGTGATTGCGCTGCCGAGTGCGGATGGCCAGCTGCCTGTCCTGGTCTCGTGGTCGAGAGACAACACGATCCGGGTGTGGCATGCTGCGGACGACGGGACGGGCGCCATGCGGTACACCGCGGACAGTGCCTCCTGTGAGGTGCTGGAGGGCCACACCAGCAATGTGCGGGGTGTGATTGCGCTGCCGAGTGCGGATGGCCAGCTGCCTGTCCTGGTCTCGTGGTCGAAGGACAACACGATCCGGGTGTGGCATCTTGCGGACGACGGGATGGGCGCCATGCGGTACACCGCGGACAGTGCATTCTGTGAGATGCTGGAGGGCCACACCGACGATGTGTGGGGTGTGCTTGCGCTGCCGAGTGCGGATGGCCAGCTGCCTGTCCTGGTCTCGTGGTCGGGGGACAAGACGATCCGGGTGTGGCATGCTGCGGACGACGGGACGGGCGCCATGCGGTACACCGCGGACAGGGCCTCCTGTGAGGTGCTGGAGGGCCACACCAGCAATGTGCGGGGTGTGATTGCGCTGCCGAGTGCGGATGGCCAGCTGCCTGTCCTGGTCTCGTGGTCGAAGGACAACACGATCCGGGTGTGGCATCTTGCGGACGACGGGATGGGCGCCATGCGGTACACCGCGGACAGTGCATTCTGTGAGATGCTGGAGGGCCACACCGACGATGTGTGGGGTGTGCTTGCGCTGCCGAGTGCGGATGGCCAGCTGCCTGTCCTGGTCTCGTGGTCGAACCACAAGACGATCCGGGTGTGGCATGCTGCGGACGACGGGACGGGCGCCATGCGGTACACCGCGGACAGGGCCTCCTGTGAGGTGCTGGAGGGCCACACCAGTGATGTGCAGGGTGTGATTGCGCTGCCGAGTGCGAATGGCCAGCTGCCCGTCCTGGTCTCGTGGTCGGAGGACAGGACGATCCGGGTGTGGCATGCTGCGGACGACGGGACGGGCGCCATGCGGTACACCGCGGACAGGACCTCCTGTGAGGTGCTGGAGGGCCACACCGGCAATGTGGAGGGTGTGGTTGCGCTGCCGAGTGCAGATGGCCAGCTGCCTGTCCTGGTTTCGTGGTCGACGGACAGGACGATCTGGGAGTGGTTTCCTGCGGACGACGGGACGTCCTCTCTGGGCTATACATCTTCCACAGCCTTTCACCAAGTGCTACAAGGCCACACGGGCCACATCAGTGGTGTGATTGCGCCTTCATATGCGTCTCGCCCCGACGTCATCACACTGGCCTCATGGTCCTCCGACTCTTCTCTGCGCGTCTGGCGTCCCGCATCACCCAGCCAGTCTCGCTCGGCCACCATTGACATCGCCATCATCTGCGCCCCAAACAACGAGGACACTGCCTGGCGGCTGCGCCACTCAATCCTCGCCCGCTTCCCCTCGCTCATTATTGCCTACTCTCGTGCCGCGGACCCAAGGGACCTTCCGTCTGCGTCTGTATACGCCGTCCTCGTCTCGCGTTCTCTCCTCGTATCTGGCCGCGCGCTTGCCGCCTCCAGACTTGCGCTTGCCTCATCCTCTTCTCGGCACATCCCGCTCTTTATCGACCGCGAGATCCTCCCACGATTCGTTGCCAAGTTCTTCTCCGACCGTGACACTGCTGTGGACATCATTTATCGCTCGCTTTCCCTCGATTCCGACGCCCAGACTTCCTGGGCTTTGAGCGATGGTTCTTACCATGCCGGCGCCGTCCGACTCCTTCGCGACCTTGCTGCATCACCCGACGCCTCGACTTACAACTGGTACATCGACCCCAAGGCGGCGGTCCGTGACCTCGGTCTCCATGTCGTCCACGCCCTCGACCTTCCGCCGCCACCGGTGCTCCCACCGCCGCCACTCCCAGACAACTTTATCGTCCGCGATGAGCAACAGCACGTTGTCCACCAGCTCAGCTCCGATGCCCGGTTGCTTGCCATCACAGGTCCAAGCGGCTGCGGCAAGTCGCTCATGCTGGCGGCCGCGCTTGCGGAACCGGCTCTCGCCTCCAAGTTCCAAATTGTTTGGTTTGATGCAAGCCAGTACGACGCGCTCGACGTCGGCCTCTGGCACTTGCTCGTCAATGGCTTTGGCGAGTCTGTTTTGCCTGTGGGCAACCTCGGGGCCGACGCGCTAGCCAGCGCGCTCAGGGATATCTCAGCCTCATACAACCTTCGTGGCCGACACGTCGCCTTGGTCCTGGACGACGCCGTCACGCTTGAGCTCGTCAAGACCGTTACTTCTGCCTGGACCAGCTCGCCCGGGCACTGCGTTGCCGTCACGACACGCGTGCTTGCTCCTGATGAGCTGGAGCTTGGCGACGTCATTGGCATCCGCGGCCTCTCACCAGAGCACGGGGGCGCTCTCCTAGCTCGGTCGGCGTCCGCTCTTGACGAACAAGATCTGTTGTCCAGCCTCGTGAACGAGGTCGCCGGTAACCCCATGGTGCTAAGTATCCTCGACCGATTCATCTCTGACTTTCCGGAGCGAGTTGTCGAAGCTCACAGTGTCGTCTGTGCCACCGCCTCCGACACCTCGTCCGATGACGACAGCACTGCCGCTCTTTGCTCCGCTGTCATGCAGCTGGCGTACGACGCACTCCCCGTTACCGCTCAGGATGCTCTCCACGACATCTACAAAGCCGATGGTGGTCTGCGGTCGTCACCGGCACTTCCTCACTTTGAGCTAGATCGCGTCGTCCGCGCAGGCCTCCTCCACGTCTCTCACGACCGCTACGTTCTGCACAACCTCCATCGAATCTTTGCCATCACCGCATTTGGCGCCGTGGACAAAGGCAAGGCTGGCGATGAACCTGTGCCAGACGACTCCAGCGCGATAGTCTCGTCGAGCTCACTCGAGCCGCTCAAAGAGCATGATGTTCCTTCCGACTCGACTGCGGGCCATGACAAGGTGGAGGATGATGGCAATGCAGTCGTGACTCACGACCTCGTCGACACGCCGGTGTCCACAACCGAGGATCGCCCCAAGCTCGACATCCTCCTTGCTTCGCTCGGCTTTGATGGCCCGCCCATGGAGTTCCAGACCGCCAAGCAACAGCTGCTGTGGATCTCAGAGGTTGAGGACACCTCTGCCCTCGCCGAAGATCGTGCTTGGCGCCTCCGGCAGCGTGCGGTCAAGGCCTGGACAGACGCCATCGCTGCTACAGGCGGATCGAGTTCAGATCCTCAACAAGCCCGTGATAGGCTTGCCTTTGACTCTCGCGTGGTCGTTGCCATCAACTCCAATCTGCTGCTCGTCGTTGAGGTTGGCCCCCAGTGGCAACCTGCCTCCTCTGTCGAGCGTGCTGGTCGCGACTGGAGCTTGCAGATCCAGAACCACGTCGACCTCTCAGCGAGCGATGTCAAGGAAATTGAGCTCGTCGCCAGCGCTTGGAAGCTTTGGTCGTACCAGCCCCACTCGCTCAACGTTTCCAGAGCCGGATCCAGTACTGATCACCCTTCCCGTGACGAGATCGAGCTTGCCATTGCACGTGCCATTGCCTGGGAGCTCGGCCAGGCAAACTCGTGGCTGCCGAAGAGCGTGGCAGCGTCATACGAGCGCGACGTGATGCTGATCCACGGCGGCCTGAGCAAGGGCTACATGGGCGAGATCAAAGACTACTTGGAAGAACACAACGTGTCCACCTTCTTGGACGAGTTCTCGCTTGGTGCCCAGCAGTGTACAAGGAAGGATGATTACGAAGACCTACGCGCAGTCGTGCGTTCGTCGCGGGTGGCGGTGGTCTCGGTCACGCCGTACTCGCTGGCATCGCCAGCTGCGCTTGCTGAGATGGACGAAGCACTTGCGAACCCGGCGGTTGTTCCAGTACCTGTTTTCCACCATGAGAACTTGCCGTTTGAGGAGTTCTGTCGCCTGCTCCATGCGCCTCGAGACCAGGCGACCGAGCCAGCGCTGATCAAGTTCCTCGACGAGTCGATGACTGGTGCCGAGCACGCAAGTCGGAAGAGGAAGTGGAACGGCGGTGCTGTAGACCTCGAGTTGGCCAGCCCAGCCCAGCTGGAATACCGGGGTCATATTCGTGACCGCTGCATGAATATCGCGTTGCGGCTGTCGAGATGGGGTCTGTGCTCGATCAGCGGCCGCACCAGAAGGCCGACAGAGTGGATCTGCGAGTACGTCGCCGGCGTCCTCGAGTATGTCGGCATCAGCTTCTCTCGCACCGGCTCCGTCCCAGACCTGCCAGACTCTCACGTTGCCATTCCGGATCGGCTGCGCTCGAAGGTAGCCTCTGCTTTGAAAGAGAAGCGCGTCTTCGTGCTCCGCGGCAAGAGCAAGAGCGGCAAGACAGCGTTGGCTCTTTGGCTTGCCAACAGTGAGCTGGCCAAGGACTATCTTACCATCTGGCTCGACATGGATATAGGTGACCTCCGCCATGCACAGTCGGATTCGCAGGTGCCTTGTGCGCTGAGAGAGGCCCTCATTGATAAGATCATCTTCTCCCGCAATGGTCGCAAAAACGGCGACTTGAAAGCCTTGTGCGCCACAAGCCCTCGCCCGTGGCTCGTGATTGTGGAGAACGTGCGCGACAACTTGGTCCATGACTTTTTCAACCGTCTCTTCGCTAAGAATCTTCGCCATCGCCTGGTGCTCACCTGCAAGCCGCTGTTTCGGCTTGGCGACGAAAGTGTTGTGGAAGTTGCGCTGCAGAAGGACGAAGCTGTCGATACCTTGACGCAGCTCCTGGGCAAGGAGCCGACTTGGTCGGGCGAGTTTGACCTACCTAGCGACAAGGACCTGCAGTCACTGGCGGCCAAGCATCGTACCGACATTGCCGCCCTCGTCGCCATTGCCAAGCTGGGCGATGTCTTGGTCGATCTGCAACTCAACAAGCTGACCAAGGACACGACGTGGTCGCCAGACAAGCCGCGGATCCACAACCTTACGATGCAGCCTGTCACGGTCCTCTTCGCACTCGCTCTTGCCTGTGAGGTCGAGGTGGCCCGGCGATGCATCGTTCGGGCTGTACGTGGCCAGCTCGCCTTTGCTGCCAGTCCGCTCTTCGGGTTGTATCTCGACAAGGATCTCACCGATGACACAGTCGCCGAAGCCGTGGAACAGCGGGCGCTGGAGGCTCTCATCATCGCCGGATTTATCGATGACGAGTCGCTCTTTATGCCTGAGGGTCAGGTAGAGGCGCTCTTGAACCAGCTTCTGCCGGCCAATTCGCATGACCAGAACCAGCTGCTTCGCTTTGCGGAAGACGTCTTTCATGACTTGGCTGCTGGCTCACGGCGGAGCGAACGCGCCGTCTCGGACATCAACGCGATCTTTGACAAGCCGAAACGCAGGAGGGTCCCGCGGCGCGTGCCGAAGCCCGGGGACCTCTTGCGCCGTCTCAACCGCATCGCCTCATCCTCCAGCAACCCCTAACCGTGCTTCCTTTACACCATGGCCTCCACCCACACCCACGGGATCCCGCTTCCCACGGCCGCCACCGCCGCCCGCACTGCGCCTTCGGATCCCAGCCGCTTCCGCAGCACGCCCAGGACAACCTGTCCGGGCATGTCGTAGTAGCCTGCCACCGCCGCCGCCGCCGCCGACAGCACTCTCGCCTCGCCACGGTAGTACGCCGCGAGCTCGGCGACGAGCTGAGGATTCGGCGCGAGGACGTCGCTCATTCTCGCGTGGATCGCGGCCACGAACCGCGGCTCCAGCAGCTGCCGCAGCGGGCCGGCGGCGTACCAGGCGCGGAGCAGGCCGAGGCCGGCCAGGCTCGTCGCCCGCGCCGGGCCAAGCCGCTTGCCCGCTGCCAGCTCGGCGCCGACCCCGCCGACGGCCTCGTACAGCGCGAGATAAACCGGGAGGACCTCGACCTTCTCCGCCGTCAGCACGTCGTAGAGGACGCGGGCGGCAAAGGCGTGCGAGTCGGTCCACGGCTCACCGGCCCGCGGGACGGCCATGTGGCCGGCAAAGGCAGTCATGGCTGCCGAGTCAGTAAAGAGGCTCAGCGCGCGCTCGGCCGGCGGCGTGAGGTCCGTCTCGGGCGCCACCCGCGCCGCCGCCGGTCTCTGCGGGAACGCCCGCGAGAGCATCGACCGCGCGTTGGTCGGATCCGTTGCGTACGCCAGGTACCCAGCCTTGCGCTTGACGTACAGCACGCCGTGCTCCACAATGAGCCGTGCCGCCGGTGCCAGCGCCCTGCTCGCCGCCGGCGTGGCGATGTATGTGCCCCAGTAGCGCGGCGAGTCGACGGCGACGCCAGCGAGCACCGCCCGTGGCGGCAGCAGCGCCGGCGTCACCGCCGCCACACTTCCCGGCCCGTGGCCGTCGCTACCGCGCAGCGTCAGCTGGACCGGCACGTACACCGCCGCGCCCGAGTCGACGTCGACCGCCTCCAGCACCCGCCGCTCCAACGCGAGCACGTACAGGTGGCGGAAGGCCTGCAGATGGTACTTGTTGTCGCTCGGCGATGCCGGCCAGACCGGGAAGAACGCCGCCACGAGAGCCCCGATGGCCGCCTTGCTCGTCGAGAGCGAGTATGCCCCACCGCCGAGGAATAGCAGGCCGAGCGCAGAGCCCATGGCCATGTGCGAGCCGTAGCCCACGCCTGTCCTTGCGTGGAGCTTGCGCACCAGCCGCAGCACGCCCACGTTGCCGCTCCCGGCCATCACCATCGCCAGCGCAACCACAGCCGTGCAGAGGCACGCCTCCGCCGTCGCCTTGTCCACCGCACTGCCGCTGCTGCTGCCGCTCCCGCCGCCGCTCGCGCCGCTCGCCGCCACCAAGTCGAGGAAGAATCCGACCTTTCCCAGCAGCAGCTCGTACGCCTCCGCCGCCGCGCTGCCGGCGTACTTGAGTCCGACCGACATGCACGCCCCGGCCACCACGTTGACGTAGGCCGCCTGCAGCGCCTCGACATCGGTCTCGCCGCCGACAGCCCCGGCCGCTCCGGCTTGGCCCTCGCCGTCGACGCCGCTCCCGCCGCCCCCGCCGAGCAGGCCAGCGACCACGTCGGCCACCGACGGCAGCTGCCGCCGCCCTCCGTCCTCGCCCCCGCCCTCGCCATCGCCGCCCTCGCCACCCTCGCTCCCATCCCTGGGCGCTCCGTCCCCATCCTCGTCCTCGTCCTCGTCGGTGTCGGACGCCAGGAGCATGGCGGCGTAGTCGATGGCGCCGCCGGCAACACCGCCGCCACTCCCGCCACGCGGGCGGAGCGGGGCGTGGGCGGCGATGAACGGCGGGAGGTGGGCGTCGAGCCAGGCCTCGCTCGCCGCAACCTCGTCCCACATGATGAGGTTGCGGGCGAGGACCCGCAACAGCAGCAGGTCCGGCCGGACGTAGTCGAGCAGGAACTGCGTCCGCGGCACCTCCAGCCGTGCCGCCACCGACGCCGAGTTGGTCTTGAGGAACATGAGCCCGAGTGCGAGGGTGGCGCCCGGCGCGGTGACGTCGATGTTGACCCGCGCGCCTTCGCGGATCCGCGAGTTGGCCATCGCTTTGCCGCCGAGCCCGCCGACGCTGCTCCGCCCGCTAGCTCCGCCCGCGCCGCTCCGCCCGCTGCCGCTCCCGCTCCGCCCGCTGCCGTCCGGCCCGCCGCTGAGCCCGCTGCCCGAGCCAGGAGCCTCGTCGGCGCGGCCGCCGACAATGAACGTGTGCAGCCTGTTCTCGATGGCGAGGTCGGCGAGGCCGGCAGCGTCGGCGCCGCGGCCGAGGGTGACCAGGCCAAGGCCGAGGCCGGCGGCGAGCGAGTAGGCCTCGCGGTCGTTGATGTGCTCCGACGCCGCCGGGCGGCGGCCGATCTCGGCCAGGAGCACCTCGGTCATGCGGCGGTGGGCCGAGCCGAGGAAGAGCAGGCCGACGCCAAGGAGGGCGGCGGTCTGGACGAGCGACGAGACGTCGAGCATGGTGGCCGACGGCGGGAGGAGCGACGGGACGTGGATGGAGAGCATCTTGGCCACCGAGGTGTCCATGCTCCCGCGCTTGGCCGCCGCCAGGCCCAGCAGCACCGCCACCGAGATGACCTCGTGCGACTGCGAGAGGTACGAGAAGACGTTGGTCACGTCCAGCCGGGCCAGGTGCCCGTGCAGGCCCATGGCCATCAGCAAGCCGGCGTGCGAGTGCGAGAGCTCCGCCGGCCGGTTGTACACGATCCACGTCGACGACAACCGCGCCGCCCGCGGCGAGATCCGCAGCCCGGCCGCGACGCCGTTGTGGAACTGCGCCCAGTGCGTGAACTCGTTCGACACGCTCGCTGTGTCCAGCGCAAGCGTCACCCCGGTCGCCGGCACCTTGCCCGAGAGCACCAGCGGCGGAATGGGCAGCGTCTCGGTCACAATCGGCGCCGCCGTGGCAAAGGTGAACATGCCGCGGCCGACAGGCAGCGCCATCGTCCGCTCCGCCAGCGCAAGCAGCGCCTTTTGCTGCGCCGCGACGAGCTCATGGTCGCTCAGCGTCGCCGCCTCGCTCGGGAGCAGTAGCGCCGCCGGCGCGCTCGACGTCAGCAGCCGCTGGACCTCGGCAACCCGCGCGTCGCCGCAGAACCGCATCGCCGCCACCCGCGACTCGAGCTCGGTGCCGAGCGGGACGCGCGCCTCGCTCCCAGCTCCGCCTGCGCCGCCGTCGCCGTCGCCACTGCCGCCGCCACTGCCGCCGGCTCCGCCGTCGTCGCCGCTCCGGCTACCGCCGCCGCTCGGCGCGCCGGCTGCTGCGCCGCTGGAGGCCGCCGCTCCGGCTGCTGCGCTCGCGCTCCGTGGCAGGGCGCCGGTGAGGCCCGGCGGGGCGAGGGTGATGAGGGTCGGCGGCGGGAGCGGGGCGCCCGGCGGGGCGCCCGGGCCGGCCGGCGATGCAAACGTCGCCTCTGTGTCGAACGAGGTCGCCGACGGGGCGGCGGCGGCCGACGCCGGCTCGGGCGGGACGCCGGCCGACTGGCGGGCGAGGTCGTTGCGGTCGATGAGGGCGTAGGCGGCGGCGGGCCAGCCGGCCGGCGGGTCCTCGCGCGCCTCGCGCAGCGCCTCGAGCAGCGGCAGCGCCACAGCCGGAGGGAGCGACGAGAGCGAGTCGCGGGTAAAGCCCTCGGCGGCGAGGGCGAGGACAACCGAGTGGGCCAGCGGCGGCTCGCCCGCCGGCGACCGCGCCCGTGGCGTCGCCGGTGAGAAGAGCGGGAGGACCGGCGAGCGTGGCGCGAGGCCGCCCGAGAACGACGCCTGGAACGAGAGCGAAATGGCTGAGAGGTGCGACTCGAGCGCCTCGGCCGCCCGCTCCGCCAGCTCGGCGGCAGACACCTCGTAGCGCCCGCCCTGGCTCCGCGTGAGGATGGCGTACAGGTGCAGGACCTTGCGGCTTGTCTCGCACACGCCGTCCGTCCCGCCCACCAGCGGGAAGGCCTCCAGCTCGGCGTCCGGCGTGCGGACCATCGTCTGCAGGTACGCGAGGATCGACGGCGGAAGGCCGAGGTCCTCTCCGGCTCCGCCTGCCGCGCCCATCCCGCCGTCCGGCCACCGGCCGAGCCCGTCGCGGGCGTATGCCTCGGCGTAGCCCACGCCGTGCTCGCCGGCTGCCGCAGCCAGGGCCGCCAGCAGCTTGCCGAGCGGCTGCAGCTCGCCGTACCGCAGCACATCGAGCTTGCAGTCCTCGTACAGCAAGTGCAAGCCCTTGAGCGCCGGCGCAAGCTCGGCCGACGGCACTCGCCTGGCCATCTTGCCGGTGGCGGCGCCGCGGATGCTGAGACTGCCGTCCTCGGCCTCACCGAGTCCGCCCAGCCTGCACCCGCCGCCCATCGCCGCGTGCGTTGCCGACTCGGTCAGCAGCCACGCGAGCGGATCGTCGCTGTCGTCGGCGCGCGGGCGGACCGGTGTGGTCGGCGACGACGGGGTGACCGGCGCAAGGAGCTCGACAAGGAGCTCGGCTAGGAGGCGCCACTGGTTGGGCGCCGGGCCGGTGGCGCGGGCGAGGGCGGCGACGAGCTCGCGGCGGAGGGCGAGGGCAAAGGCAGGTGAGACGGTGGTGCTGAGGACCTCGAGGACGGCGGCGGCGAGCGGCGAGGCCGGCGGGAGCTCGATGTTGATGCGGTAGGCGCGCCCGCGGGCGGTGACGACCGTCAGCCGCGAGCCGGCCGCTGCGGCGAGGGCGACGAGCTTGCCGGCCTCGGCGTCGGCCTCGCACTCGTCGTCGCCGGCCATGCCGAGGCCCGAGGCGTCGAACGAGGCCGAGGCCATCGAGACCGGTGAGAGCGAGAGCGCCGACTCGTTCGGCCCGCCAGCTGCGCATCCGCTGCCGATGAGCGGTGCCGGGAGGGCGACGTCGACAAGCCGGGTGCCGCCGACGTAGAGCACGAGGCCGCCGCCCGGGGCGACGACGGCGAGTGCGTCGAGGCCGCCGAGGCGGACGGGCGCGGCGTCGACGGCCGGCACCTGCCACGCCACCGCCAGCGCCGTCGGCTCAAAGGCGATGCCGGTGAGAACCTGCGCCTCGCGGTCAAGAAGGGCGAGTTCGAGCGTGCCGTTGGCGTCGTGGGTGAGAAAGGCGCGCGCCGGCGCGGCGAGGCCGGCCCACGGCGACGACCACACGTGCTCGAGATAGACGTCGGCGTAGAGCGCGTCGACCGACTCGCCGCTCACGCCCGAGACGTTGCCCTGGCTCGCTCTGCTGCCCGCGCTCCCGTCCTCGCTCTGCGCCTCTTCCATGTCCATGCCGAGCCGCCCCAGGCCGCTCAGCGAGCGCTCGATCTCGTCGGGCGGAGTGTCCGGCGGCGCGCGGCGGAGGAGGAAGAGGTCGAGCGCACTGCCGGCTCCCGCGCTCCGCCCGGCCGAGTGAGTGAGGAGCAGCGGCGGCGAGGAGGCCGCGAGGAGGACACTGACCGAGGCGTCCGAGACAACGTCGCCGTGGAGCGAGAGCGCCGCCAGCGGGCGGACGTCGTCGAGCGGATGCAGGAGCGAGAAGAGGAACGGCAGCGCCGCCGCGCCCGCCGCCGCCTCCTCCGCCGCCGCCGCCGCCCGCCGCAGGAGCAAGCCGACCGGCAGCGCCGCCACGTCGGCCACAGCAAAGGGGAGCACAACCTCGTAGACGTGTCCCGTGGGGTAGTACACATGGGCCGCCGCCGCCGTGAGGAGCACCAGCGCAGTGACGAGGCCTCCGTCGCCCGACGAGCCCGGGCCGTGCCCGCCACTGCCATCGCCATCGCCCTCGTCGTCGCCATGGTGAACATGCGACTGCGATGGGCCATGGAACGAGTGGCCGGAGCGGGGCGGCGACCATGCTGCGGCGGCCATGCTCCCGTTGCCGCCGGCATCACCGCCGACACTGCGGCCGGGGAGCGGGCGCGGGAAGGAGACCCACAGGGCGTGCGAGATGGCGGCCGGGACGGTGTACGAGGCAGCCACGAGGGCACCAGCCATGACACTGGCGCAGTTGCCGCTCACCACCAGGGCCAACTCGCCGGCATGGCCATGGCCGTAGCCTCCGGCTGGATGACCGCCCGTGCCCATGCCCATGCCCGCGGCGGCGTGGGCCGGTGCAGCCGGAGTCGCTGTCGCCGTCGCCATTGCCGTCGCCATCGAGCCAGTGCTCGCCATGGCACTGCTGCTTGACGTTCGCGATGTGCTCGACGTGCTCGTCCAGCCATGGCCGTGGCTCAGGTACTGCCTCTTGCCGCCCACCGCACTCTCCTCATACAGCACTTGGCACGTGATCGTCGACATCATGTCCGTCACCTGCTTTGTCGACGTGGCGGTCGTGGTCGAGGTCGAGGTCGAGGTTGTCGAGGTCGAGGTCGAGGTGGTCGAGGTGATCTACGTGGTCGAGGTGATCTACGTGGTCGAGGTGATCTACGTAGTCGAGGTGATCTACGTGGTCGAGGTGATCTACGTAGTCGAGGTGATCCACGTGGTCGAGGTGATCTACGTAGTCGAGGTGATCCACGTGGTCGAGGTGATCTACGTAGTCGAGGTGATCTACGTAGTCGAGGTGATCTACGTGGTCGAGGTGATCTACGTGGTCGAGGTGATCTACGTGGTCGAGGTGATCTACGTGGTCGAGGTGATCTACGTAGTCGAGGTGATCTACGTGGTCGAGGTGATCTACGTAGTCGAGGTGATCTACGTGGTCGAGGTGATCTACGTAGTCGAGGTGATCTACGTGGTCGAGGTGATCTACGTAGTCGAGGTGATCCACGTGGTCGAGGTGATCTACGTGGTCGAGGTGATCTACGTGGTCGAGGTGATCTACGTGGTCGAGGTGATCTACGTGGTCGACGTCACCGACTTGGTCTACGTGGTCGAGGTCACCCACTTGGTCGAGGTCACCCACTTGGTCGAGGTCACCCACTTGGTCGACGTCACCCACTTGGTCGAGGTCACCCACTTGGTCGAGGTCACCCACTTGGTCGAGGTGGCGGTGACACGGGAGGGAGGGAGGGTGTGCGGTATGCGTATGCGTATGTATATGTATATGGGGGTACGGCGACCTGTGTCTCTCTCCCCCACCACACGTTGAGTGCCCCGCACACTGCCACTGCCTGCTGCTCATTCTCCTCAACTTGGCTCGTCCGAACGAGGGTGAGGGCGGGGGTGGAGGGGACTGTGGGCGAGTTTTTTGGCGCGAAACGGGTAATCGGAGTCGGTTCCCGCCAAAAAAGACAAGGGGAGGGAGGGAGGGAGGGAGGGAAGGGGGGAGGGGGAAAAAAAGGCGGGAGTTGGTCATAAGGCCACCGTTCGCGCCATTTCTTTCTTGCTCTAATTGGCCGAGATGTGGGGGGGGCCGAGACGTATGCTATGCGCCAGATCGGATCGATGGCTTTGCTACGCTGCGGGGCCGGAGACCACCTGGTCACGACTGGCGCGACGGAGTAATGGTGGTGGTGGTGGTGGTGGCGGTGGCAGGG